TTATTGTGATAAAAAGATGATTGGCAAAAATGAGTTTTGATTTTGCAAAAACTTAAATAACTCCAAGACTATTTTACCCAAAACATGTTTTACTGAAATATGACTGATAATATTTGTACCTTAAGCTCCTCCTTTGACTTGATCTTCAAAGAAAGCAGCAGGAAGTCGTGCAGATAGCGGCGGGCGTAATCCAAACGGTCCCCATCTGAGAGTTTCTGGAGGTGACTGCCGAGCCTGCTGTTGTTGAAGGTGCTCACAAACTGGAGAATCCTCTCTGCACCACCCTCTTTTGTTACTGAAGAGCGACAGACAGACAGACAGATGTCCATTTCAACGCGCTCTACATCGACCTCATTTGTTTGATTTGTTTTTGAGTTTGTCATTAACCTGGCATAAATTCAGATTCTTCCCACAGAGTCTCGAGGTGCATGCTGACCAGCCAGCTGAACGGGGCCGAGCAGGGCTGCTCTTCACCATCCAGCATGAAGGGGTGCTGCACAAGCACCTCCTGATCTGACTCACTGGAAAATATTATAATTAGAGACAAAAATTGCTTTATGTTCACAAAATGCAGTTTTTATTACAGAGATGAACCAAACAGATGAACCACTCTCAGGTGACATGATTAAACGTGAATATCTCTGTGATATATTAGACAATAAGAAAATAGTTGGTTTTAATAAAATGAATGTGTTCGATGTAAGAGAACCGGACAGGTGTAAGGACTTTAGGAAGTTAGACCGGCTCCAGATTTCTCAGAAAGTGCAAGGCTTTCACAGTGGAGCATGTGGTGTAACTCCAAAACACAGCTTACATCACGTGCTGGCTTTGGAATCACACAAAAGACGAACAGCAACTGTTAGAGAGGTGGTGATAATGTTCACTCTCAGAAGAGGTAATACCTTTGTTTTTGGAGAGGTGTTAGGTGTAAAGCCTGCGAGTCTCCCAGGATGTCCAACCACAGCTGTATCAGGCCCTGACTGGTCCTGTCATCAGAGAGCAGATCCAGATTCGCATACCGGTCCATAACCTCCAACATGCTGACCAGGATCGGTGTCACGGCGGACTGAAGACAGCGCCACAGGGTGTGTCTTAAATCCAAAGATATGACAAGTTTATTTTATATGTATTCCTGAAAATGTCTCAGAGAACTGCACCGACAATAGAAATGAGCACAAAATAATGTAAAATGTGTTGTTTTGTCATTTTTACTTGAACATTTTCTGAAACAGTTATTTATTTTATTTATTTATTTATTATTTTTATTAAGTATTTTTTTGTTTATACATAAAACAGAAAATCAAAGCATATGAGTGCCTAATTTGTACAAGTGCATAAATATTTGTTTTTACTGGATTTACTGCAATTATGGATTCATACTGCGTAGACAGGGATAAAGTCAAATACTTTGACTGAGTTAATGATGCCTCACAGGATCTTGTGAGGTTTGTTGTCACATCTGCAGGAGACTTTTACCTCAGAGTCCCTCCCTCTTGCAGGGCGTGGCGTTTCTTGGCCTCTGAGCACACCCACTCTTTAGGAGCGTGCATCGTTTCTTCTCTTTGTGCCAACGCCTCAACCAGTCTGCTCAACAACAACCTCTGAAAGTGAGCTTTAAACAGAGAGCAGTTTGATTAGAAAGAAATGAAGAATCTAAGATTAGTCGAGTGATATAAGTCATCAAACCATTTCAAAAGTCTGCATATTTAGAGCATCTTTTGTTGTCAGGCACTGAAAGCGTACGTCAGCAATATATAAATAGAGATCAGCATTGGATATTTACCTCCTGTGTGGTTTTCACCAGCTCCTAGAAGGTTCAGAAGGACGTGCATCCTCGCCATACTTCTTGGAGCCACGCCGTCGGGGTCCCTCAGCAAACCCACTGCTTTCTGGATGCAAGACCTCACTAAAGACAATCTGTCAAGCTGAGCTCTGTCGCTCTGCAAGCAAAGAGAATTATATTATTTTTTCAAGTGTAAACATTTAAACATAATGAAACATGGTTTCATTATCATCTCATTTCACATTAACTCACATGTCTGTCTTCTTTAGAGGCCTCTCCTCCCCTCAAGGTTTCTATATCATCGTGGTTTGCTGATGAAGATTAAAAATACTGTTTATGTAACAAGAAAATGAGGCTTAAATTGCCTTTTGAAGGCAAAACTAACCAAAACTATATATTTATTAAAAATCTAGTTTGGGCTTAATTTTACTTTTTAGATTAAATAAATAAATAACAGTATATTAAAACCAAACACCTGTGACGGCACTCAGGCTTATTAAAGCTGGCCGGTGAGATGTTAGTAACTATAAGTAATTCACCCACTTTCTCCTGTTGCATTTAACATCAAACATCAAACGTCTCAGTAACAGTTTGATAAATCATAGAAAAATTGCGGAAACTTAAATGAATGAAACTGTAAAAAATAAAAGGTACTGTTGTTAGGAGAGCTAGCCTAGCTAGCTAATTAGGTTAAATGAGCAAGAAATATAAACAATAGCATCTTTCATCCTTTGTTATTCTGTGGGTACTTTGGCTTAAAACAGTGTTGTATGTAATGATGATTAATAAGCTCCAGGTAGCGGGAAAACAGGTTTTTATTTCCTTGACGTACTCTCTGTCATTACAGAGCAGAGATCTAAAACCATCTGTTTGGATACAGTATAATACTTCCTGCACAGTGTTTACCTGTGAGGGCAGGTTTGAGCAGGCTGCTAATCAGAGTTCCACAGAAAGCCGACAGGTTCAGGCTCATGTCCTCCGAATCTCTCAGGTCGTCAATATGCACCGAGTGCCAAACTCCTTTGATTGATAAAACATTATGTTATTATTGTAATACATCAAGCATATTGGTGCAATCATGCAAATAACTGTGGTGGAACAATAACTGTTGTCCCACTTGGTCCTCACCTCCTTGGAAACCAATGTACTGGGAATGACTTGGGATCCTTGAAACCTTCACAATGAAAATCACCCAACAAGTGTGATCCTCCAGTGACATCAGATAATTCATGGTGCAGTATCTGTTGGCAGACAAATACAACGCAAATGCCTTCAATGTCCCGTTTCTCACCGACCCTGCTTTAAATCAGATCTGTTCACGAGTTTGAGGTCGAGACCTACTTTGCTGATGCAATGAGCTCGCTGCTGCAGCGGGATTCCTCGAGGTCCATTTGGATTAGCAGAATATGAAGAGAGTGGCCAGCGTTTTGAAGGAAACCCCTAATACAGACAGATGAGCAGGAGCAAGATTAATGCGCATCAGCGTCTCTGATACCGCTGCAAAGAAAATGCTCCTCTGAACTAAACCGGTAAGCACCTGCAAAGCCAAACTTCTCGCCCTATGGCAGCCTGGATTTAATCAATATCTGACATTTTTAATGTTTTACACATGTAGACTTTACTTTGGCAGGCTGATCAGATATTTTAACAACAACTGCACATCCATTTACAATAACAATACCATCTGTGATTGCTGCACAATCCTCCTCGATCTTAAAAAAAGAAAAAACGAGGAGCATTGCTAGCAGAGCTCATTGAGGGGAATAACAGCAAGAAGAAAAACTCGAAAGGTTTCGACTTAAATCTTTCGAGCAGCCCATCAGCTCGCATTAGATCTCCAGAGAAGAACAATGATGTCAACAAGCACCACAACAGTTATCTGGGCAGCAAGTCAGCCAGTAGAAAGACATAGAATTTTCAAGGGATAAGCTGGTTAGCAGCGACATCCTGTGAGTGTCTAATTTCTCTACCAGCTGGCTCACTGGCCAGGCACTGTTGTGGTGGTTGTTTATATCATTTATGTGTTTCCCCAGAGAAGATATCCCAGAAACAAACTCCTGGACTGTAATCCTTGTTCTGGACTCGAGACAAGTTGAAGGACAGTTCCAATCAGACTCTGCAGCAAGTGGAGAATTGGTGCATATGCTACAATTCCAATACTGCAGAGTAGCACAAGGAATACCAACTGTGGTCCAAAATGATTGAAGCTCAGTGGCAGGTCGAGACTCATGGGAGAGCAGCTTTATTTTGCACAAAGATCTCATTGAAAAATAACTCGTTAAAAAGCTGTAAATCCTGCTTTATTTGAAAAATCGTTACCGTATTTTATTGCAGAAAGAGACTTCAGTGTCGAACTGGTGGAGTGACAGTAGCAGGATCCTGTCTGTGTGCAGTCCTAGAGCGTGGGCTACAACCTTGACATCTGATTTGGTTAACAAGCTGGAGAATGTAGTAACCTATGCAGAACCACAAAGCACACAGTGCAGTAAACAGACTGTAAGGAATATGAAGAACAAACTAGAGGTTTGTTTTGCGCCTTACCTCCAGAAACTTGCTGGACTCCTGATACACCTTCAAGCAATCTTCCAGAAAATCCCGAAGTGAGTGGTGATGCTGTTGCTGGAAGTACAATCTCTGGAGTTTGTCTATTTCTTGCTTTGCTAAATCTGAATACTTGAGCCTCACCACGGCATCAGGAGTGGCACAGTTTAACAAGAGACCTTTGGCTAAATCCAAGACTTCGTCCTCCTCATTTTGTCTTGCAGACTCAAAATCACTTTCTGCGTCCATCATCGCTTCACTTTCTGGCATCACTTTGTTTTCATTACATACCTCAATGGATTCATCATCATTCTTTTCACATGTCTCAGTTTCTTGATCTGTTTCCATTGCATCACCCACCTGATCATCTTCCAGCTGAATTACATCTTTCTGCGCGCTTGTCTCAAGTGTTTTGTTTCGTTCTCCCTGTTGCTGCGGTCCTTCTTGAGTGCCTTGTGCTTCTTGAGTGTCTTCCACTCTTAGTGCTCTCCTTTCCAGGGCTTGCAACAGAGCGCTGGCACAGGCATCACCATGGAAGCCAATAAAAATGTCAGATTGTTTGAAATCTGACGCCTCGCCGGAGAACTCCTTCACCCACTCTCTCAGTTTGTCAAGAACTGTGTGCTGCCACGGCTCCAGATCGGTGCTCCTATCCACTCTGTGTTTTTCCAGCCTGTTGATAAGGGGCACTGGAAAGTGCTCATACACCTTCTTCTGGTCCTCCACTACCACCAGTCTGAAGTTTGTATGAACACGACATTTGACCCTATGGGAGCCAAGACCCAGATCAACGTACTGCTGCTTACTGAGGTAAACATAGTACTGGTTCAAGGCATCGTAGAGGCTTTCATAGAGATTCTGCATGTTGAGGAGGATGACAGTACGTCCAGTCTCCATGCATGTTTTCACTCGGTTCACATTACGGCAGATTTGGGCATATTCCTGGTCCTTTGGGAATCCTGAACCAAAAATGATTTCTGGCTGTAGATTGTCTCCTTTGGCAAACACTTGTTGCTGAAGGATATGGAGAGCTGCATTGTTGGTGGTCAGTAAAAGGAGGTACCGGCTCTCCTCAGTGGTGCCATGATCAAGATTCTTTTTCACCATTTGCAGGGTGCTTGGTCTTGGAATTTCTTTAAGGTCTTGGAGAATCTCTTGGAAAAATATGACAGGGTCAAAACCTTCTGGCTGTCCACTGAAGTTACGTAAGATGGCCTCTACCATCTGCTCACCATCCGGCTCATGCTGTGTAGTTTTGACTGCAGCAAAGAGCATTTTGACAAGGCTGTAATAATCCCTCAGGCCAAAGAACTGATTCTTGGAGGTCTCCTTACAGATGCTCAGAAAGGCCTTTGCCAAAGCTGGGAAGAGGTGTTTGATTTTCAGGAGAATTGGGTTGGAGGATGAACAAATGCCTTTGGCAGTTTCAACAAGTTCATCCTCACTTGGATCCCATCTGGACACAAATATCCCTCTGTTCATCTTGGCTGGATCCAGAGCCCAGTTGGAGATGCCAACAAAGCCGACCTTCATGTGTGGATCTGGCTTGTCATTGTCGATGCAACCATCCTCCAAAAGAGGATGAAGAGTTTTCAGTGGCATCTGAGGAGAATCTTCTGCTAGTCCTATCTCATCAAGCACTACCACTGACACATACTCGTCCATGTTTTTATCCTTCTGGAAGCGAGCACAGTTCCTGAATGTTCCTATGATGCCCTCTGGACTTGAGTGAGGGCTGCACTGGAAGGAGACCATATGAACTTGCTTGAGATTCTTGAATAGCTCGCAGTGGGAATTCTGTCCCTGCATGGCATCAGCAACCACAGTTTTTGCAAGTGACTTTGAGCTGCCTGGCTTGCCAACCAGAAAGAGTGGGATCCTGAGCTCAATACAAACCACCATGAGAAACACATTCTCTTTAAGTGCAACATTTTTGGCTATAGTCTCCCTGGTTTGTATGTTCTGAAGGAAGAAGTCTTGACAGGAAGAAATCTTTGTCTGCAGTGCATCTGAAGAGCGATAACAATCCGGGAAGTACCTGCAAATGTTATCCAGGTACTCCTCTTTGGTCACCAGAGATGGGTAGTAGCAGACTCCAACTGCAAGAATCAGGCACTTTAGTGTTTTATCATCCTCACTGAGACGGGCGCAGTTGCTGAAAAGGACATTGCTGTGCTGGTAAAACCAAATTAGCACTTTCATGGACCTCTCCACATCTCTGAGACTCACAAAGCTGCACTCGTTTTTACGACTTCTCATGTATTTCTGGGAGGCTGCTAACACATTTGAAATGATGCTCTTGCATGATAGTGGCAAATGATGGTCAGCAACTTTCTTCTGGACAATCTGTTGGATATAGGAAAGCTCAGTTGAATCACTCAGCTGACCAAAATCCCACACCAAAGAAGCCATGCTAGGAGGCAGAGGGTGAACTCTGTAGACCAGCTGCCTTAGAGGGACTTTGCCAAGGCGGTCTTCTGTTTCATCAGCCTTCACTCGGTATCCCAATCCAGCACGTTCCAAGCGTTCCACCATTTCAGGTGAGTGCTTCCTGTAAGGATTGCAGGCAGCTATTACTTTTAAACCGCTGTCAGCCTTCAAAGGTTGTCCTCTCACTGTTCGGTCACACAGGATTTCCTTGATGGCAAAAATGGCCTCTGTGGTGTTGGCTTCATCAAAGAATAAAATGGTGTCTAGATTGTGCTTCACACGGTTCTGGTGAGCAAGTGCCTCGGCCTCCTTCACCTTCCTGTAGATCATTTCTGCAGTGGTTCCACCATGCACCTTAACAAGTACCATGTTCTCGACTGATCTTCCCTCCCTTTGTAGAGTACAAAGGAAACGAACCAATCTGGTTTTTCCACAGCCAGTCTCACCCATGATGACAACAGGAATTTCACATCGGAATCTCATATGTATGGCCAACATCTTCATCACATTGTCAGCAGTGAGCTCATAGGTAGGGTCTGGATCAAATCGCTTGTCTGCAATTCCTTTCTTTGCTCCAACAACGCAAGAAATCCTTTTGATTTTGTCTGCCCGGGGTAACTGATCAAAGTCCTCAGTGAGAGATATCCTCTGCCGCTGCAAACCTTGAAAAAGCTCTTGTGACATCACATTGTGTATCAGGACTGCATTGCTGCGAGGATCAACTGCATTGAGTGTGTTTTGCCAACATCTTTGTACATTAAAGCCGAGGAAAGACATTGACATGTGGTCCGCATTGAAGAAAATGTATGGATGAGACTCATTTTCCCAGTGCTTACGAATTGTCAGACGGGCCAGAAGTTCCTCTTCCTGACTGTTCTCCATGAGTGGCATGGGACTTTCATCGGACATGTCCAGAGATGGTGAGGCAAAATCTCTCGCCATTAGAATCATGAACTTTACGATGAACCCTTTGAAACCAGGAAGCTGGTCAGCAAGAAATTCTCGATCACAGAAAACTGAGTTCTCACAGTCTTTCAGCTGCACATTGAGGAACCAGGAGAAGTTCTTCAGCTCACCCCAGGATGGATCTTGCATCCCACAGTAGGACAGGAAGAGATTGAGACAGTCACTGGGATCCCCCATTCTGGAACCCTCCTGGTAGTTAAAATGATCCAGATCCTGTTTCGCCTTGTAACGCCTTAAGTACTGATAGGGTCTTTGAATTCCCTCACTGCAAAACTCCTGACCATCCATCAGTGGATCAAAGGTCTTAACTCTTAATGACCTTTGATTGGCCAATAACTGCATCACCTCTCTTGGAGGCCTACAACGAATGGTGGGCAAAACATCAAGAAGTCCAAGCTTTGTCTGCATGAAAAAATCAAACATTAAAGAAAAAATTAAATCAACAGGAAATTCACAAAATGTTCACAAATTGGCAAAAGATTTATTTGAACCTTTTAAAAGTTTACAGATATAATAAGCTTGCAGATTTAGGGCACTGAATTAAAATATACTAGACTCAAAGACAATGTTGGATTAGTTACTCAAAAAATGTATTGCACATTACTTGTTACTTTCATTTAAAGTAATGCAATATAATACTTAATTACTTGGTAATTAATTTGTTACACTACCACATTACTGTTGCGACTCCTCCGGTTGCAAAGCATCCAGCTATATAAAAGTCTAAACAACCCTCAGCCTGCTTGCTCTGTGACTTCGGTAAAGACTTTTATGATAAACTGATGGTCTTAATTACTAAAAAAGTCGTATTAAAGAAAGTCGTATTAAATATAACATGAAGATAATTTGGTAAACTGTGGTCTCATGAGTGTTGAAAGACGATCCAGCAGGGTATGTTTTATGGCGGGTCTAAAGTGTCTCTGGCAAATCATTACTAATAAATCAGAATCCTGTGGTAAGATTCCCCGCTCACTTGTGACAACAAAAAGACTCATCATGAGGTTTCACAACTTCACTAACCAACAGGCAATATCAATATCATTTACACATGATGGTTTTGTTTGAGTTCTTTACCATCTAAAATATTTTAGCATTCAAAGTTAAATCCATTTATAAAAAAAATCTAGTTAAAAAGATGAGTTTTTCTTAAAGACATGAAATGTGACGTGTGACGAGTTCTGAAGTTCTATTCAATGAAGGTCTAAAAAGCTCATTACCTCTTGTTGATGATTTGGGGGGAATGCATATGTTTTCAGGACCTCAACTGTGATTAAGTGAGCCACATTTCTTCTCCACAGCATGCCATGGCTGTCGTTCAAACACCCCAGAACTAACAGGTGGAACAAGAGCTCTTCCAAACCTGAACGAACCTGAGAGGTGTCCAAAGTGAAAAAAACAAGACAGACTGTCAAAGTCAAGCACAAGCAACAGCAGAACAAACGGCCTGCAGCTGTAAATGCTTGCATACTTACCCCAGCAGTGTCGATGTGCAGAATGACAGGATCCTGCTCTCTCAAAGGCTCCAGTTTCTCTGACAGACTCCTAATCAGTGAGTCTATGTCAACGCTTGGCTCAATCAGCTTGAGGCTGATATGTTTTGCTCTAGGAGATATCTCCTGGAACTTCTCAAACAAACGATCAATGTAAAGTGATTTCCCTAAGAAAAGAAAAGATGCCAACATTTAAATATTGTAACTGAACTGCATTTTAAATGGATTTTAATGCAAGGAGGGGTCGTCCTTACCGACTGCAGGGCGCTCAGATGACACGATCCAGACTGAGAGCTTGTCTGGAGAAACCAGTGTGACGGGGTTTGGCTGAAGCGTGTTTTCTGTGAAGTGGTGATGTAGATATTTCCTGGCATTCTCCGCTGTTACACCCACACCAGCCTGCACTTTATCATTGCTGAAGAAAGAGGGCACGTATCTGTGCTGGTGCACAACCGGACTCACTATGACCAGACGATAATGCGGGCCGGCACTTCTCTCAAGACTGTCGAAGATCTCCCCTAAAGCTACACTGACATCATATCCCAGCAGCCCTGGATTCACCAGAGAGTATATCTTCTGGCAGTTTTGTCTGTAGCCTTGACTCAGAGCACGGCGCAGAAAGATCTCCACCTCCTCTTCTGTGGTTTCCTCTCTGCAGACTAGAACCTCATCAACAGACGGCAGAGGCTGCTCTGGACTCTCCATGTACAAAGAGAGGGTGGTGGTAAAAACCTCTCCAATGGGGCACAGAACGAGATTGGGTTTTCCTTCCTGGAGAACTGACAGAAGGTTTCTGATTGTGTGCTGCTGGTTCATCTCAGAGAGGCATGAGAGGAAGTTGGCTAGTGTCAAGATATCCAGCGACTCACTCAGGTAAAGACTCATGTCTTTTTTGAATTGCTGCCAGAGATTCTCAAGATTATCCTCTTCATCTTCTTCATCATCCGAAGAAAACTCCATCAAGTCGGAAGCCTCTTTCATGTCCACTTCAGCCTGTTGCGCTGGCATCACATCTTTTGAAGGTTCGTAATACATGTCGTCGTCATCAGATGAAACATCTTCTAACTCCTCAGCGTTCGAGCTCATTCTTGCTGCATTACTGTAGGCGTGTCTGACATCATTTGGCGTGCACTCGGGTTTTATGGGAAACAGTAAGTGCCATAACTGCTGAGGAACAGACGCCTGGCGTTGACACACTTTGTGTATCCAGTGGCACAAATAAACCATCTGCTCCGAGGTGTAGTGGTTCAGCAAGCCAAAGCGGGAGCGCATGCTGCTGATGAAGGAACGCCATTCCTTCTGGCACTTATCCATGGACTGCGCGAGGTTTTGCAGCTGCGCTGTCACCTCACCGTAGTATGTCATCTGTTTACCTTTCAGGGACAAGAAGGTGACTCTGATGCATGGCTGCTGCTGTTGTTGGCAGCACTCGACCTCAGCGTGCCAGTCTCTGAAGAGCATGTTCCCAGATGTTTGCATCTGAAGAAGGATGGTGCCCAGTCTCTGAACTCCCTCAAAAACCTACCAGGACATGACAGCAGGAGTTTTGCAGTTAATACTATCCTAAACCACAGACACCGGGCCTACAGCTAAAATGTTTAACTCTCTTTAGCTTAGCTTCTAGTGTCAGTGGACAGAACTGCATCTATTGCACAAAAAACTAGTGATGGTGTCAGATATGATGACTTATCGTCATGCTAACCAAGAGTACATTAAAAGGGTCTGCTTTTTTTCTTGAATACTTTTGAGATCTCTTGCATCCTATTATCTCAGCTGTAAAAGTGGTGGAGTCAAAGCTTTAATTCGAGGACACAACAGGTACACAAGTCTGACAAATAAGATGAAACACAATAAAGAAGCTGAGAACCTTCCAGTGAGTTTCCTTTGCTGAGAAGAGTCATAAATTAACAGTTTAAAAGCCGCTGACCTCTGTGAACCTGTTGACTTGCTCTCTGCCGTGCTCCCCTTTGGATGACATGAGCATGAGTTTGTTTTGTAGCTCGAGCAGATCCTCCAGCTTGTAGCTCTTCTCCTCTCTGCTGCTTCTCACTGTGACCTTCACCATGTTTTGAAGACATCTCTGCAAAGGAATCGGAGAAAACTGACTAATAAGAATTTGAAAATCACTTCAGTTTGTAAGCCCCGTATTCTGTTCGTCAAAGGAACACTGTGCACTCACCCTCTGTGTGTTTTTATCGGACCATTTTATGTGATAAACTCCATTAGCATTAATAGAGGAAGCCAAGGAGAGGGAGGACTGCTCGACAGAGCCGTGAGTCTCCTTCAGTGCTTTTAGCCAGCTCAGTAAGCGGGTAGACTCGCTCTGAAAAACAAAACAAACACTATTATAGCTGCTTTGCAACATCAGCCAGGATGTAGGCGTAAAAATAAGAGAGAAGATGTAAATACCAGTTTTTACCAGTTTGTCAGGGAGCTTCTCATCTCTACTTTGGGCGTCCCACACCTGCTGAGCACACCTCATGAATTCATTAAAGCCAGCTCGAGGGGAGAGGGAGTAGAGCAGAGGGGCATAGCCCATCACCGCATCATGGAAGCAGGCCACCTGATCGATCTCTGTGTCGTTCTCTCCAGCAGATATGGAAGCCAGATCCACGTAAACCTTCACATCGCTCATGTCTGTTGACGGGAGAACAAAGTGAGGATGGAGGCATCTTCTGCAAGGCCACAAGATTATTTATAACCAAAAAAAGGACGCTTTGTGTTTTTCATGAGATCACCTTACTTTTAAGGTTCTCTTTGACCCAGGTGACAAGAGTTTGGCTCGCTAGAAACTCTTCCAGGCAAGCGGTGTTCTGCTTGGTGACCTTGGAGAGTTGCTGTCTGGCACGAAACAGGTCGTCACTCAGAGAGCTCAGAGCCCTGTGCTTAAAGCTGTCCTCTTGCTGTGAAAGGTACGAATATCGACAAAGAATGAAACATTATTTAGTTAATATAAATATAAATGTTTGGGCTTCTGTGTAACTTGTGTTTTATCCAACAAATATCCCTTTTTTTAGTATTTATTTTTACAGTAGGAGTCAAGATAGCTGTGAGGAGAACTTTGCACACATTTAGCACATGAAGTTGCTCCTTGATGGTTTTAAGAACTTCAGCTCAGTTGTGCAGAAGATAAATAAAGAAGCGCGACTCAGCTACTGTAAACATGCACATTGTGGCAAGATCTGCTCAGTGAGCTTAAATACAGTAATTACATTAATACACGAAGGTCAGTAGGTCCAGAAATGTTCTCTCTGCTTTTCAAAGATCAAGCAGCAAATAGATATAAGTAAAAGCTGTTGGGAGGAGACTGTATCAGCAGGCCTGTGTGATGAAAGTGCTACGTGAGGCCCCGCCTTCTTGAGACAAAAAAGAAAAAGAAAAGTGCCATGACACAGAGAAGGTGAACAAATGGCATCTGCACATGTGCACATGTGCAGGAGGAGCTGTGATGATGTCTGGGGGTTTTGCTACTGCCACTGTTCCTGCAGAGACACACAGTCTCATCTAGTCCAAGCTCAGAGGGAACTACATTTGTTTTTTCAGCAGGAGAATGAGCCAAAAAACACCTCCAGGCTCTGTAAGGGCTCGAAGCAGAGTCCCTCCAGGCTGATGCCTGACTGAAACTCCAGGTTACAACATTAGAAACTGTTAAAAACAAATTCTGGAAAATGTAGCGTATATTTTTTTTCCTACACAAATCTATTAAACGTCTTCAGTTTTGGTCGCCGCGTCAACGAGACTTTGAGAAGATGCTGTAAGTAAATAGTAATATTCATAAAGTATTACCAGTTGACTGAGTGTTTCGATCTCAGTGAAGTTTCCAGAAAGCCCCATTTTTCCTGCGACCTTCAGCACGGCGCTGGCTGCAGCCGCCGCCTCGTGGAGCTGTCTATACTTCTGGATCTGATCGAGTCTCATCTTCATCCAGTTGACCTCAGGTTTGGACCCTCCTGCCTCAGAAAACATCTCCAACATCAGATCCAGCTCTGTTTTTATGATTTTCCCATCACCCTGGTCCCCAGACTCAAGCAAAACCCGATCGAGCTGCCTAAAAGTGATATTTGCTTCTGCAATGCTCACGGCGAGGTCAGCAAACTCGGTGAGCAGGGGGTTCCAGATGTTGTCGCAGACCTGTGTTAGGTTCACTGAAACCGGAGCTTGGAAGGGACTTCTGGCTGCCAAAGATGCAGCTCCTTTGACCCACGAGGACAGAATCAGGTTGCTGTCTTGCAGTTTGTGCATCTCTGTGGCCATTTTTAAGACATTCATACTGGTTTTGTACCAGAGGATGCGTGGAGAGCCGGCACTCTTTAATTTGCCTTCAGCATCAAAGGGCTGAACAAGCATCAGTTTGTTCAGGCTCACAGCGTGGAGATCTGCACTGTGCTGCTCCTCCAGGGCCGACATCTCAGGAACTATTGACATAAGAACCATGTTAGTGTGGAGAAGCCATTAAACCACCACACAGCAAAAAATATTTAAAATGATGAAATGAACGACATTCAACTCACCTGTGATGCTTTCTGTAACCTTTGCTATCATCTTTATGAGAGCTTCAATCTGCTGTTTCCTCTGCAAGAACATGTTCAGATCTTTCTCTCTCTGAGCTAAAACCTCGTCCGCACTGACAGGAACCTTCTCAGATTTAGCGTTTGTCTTGTCTGTGGAAAACACGATGCAGCTCATATTAATCAAGACAGTTTGCAAGCATGAGCTAAAGAGGCAAACGGAGAAAATTCGTTTGGGTGTTCTAACTAACTTTGCATCCCTCTTGTACTTAAATCTTCTGAATATCTCATTTATATAAAGGACAGGACGTGTGAGATTATTAAAAACAGAATGAAGGAACAGCAGACTCTGATGGTTCTCACATTGCTTGAAAAGCTTTTTAAACTGCTCCCGGTGTTTCAGGCAGGTCTGCAGGTCTCCCAGAGCCACGTCTCCTTGAAGCAGAGACCCCACCAGAGAGTGTACGGCCTCCACACAGCTGTGGACCACCTGCCCTGCGGTGTCGTCCACCTGGATCGCCTTCCAGTCACCTGGACCAAAGCAGCAACACCGCAGCCATCACGAAACCCGAACAGCAGCGAGTAAAAATTTAAAGAAGACGTAAATGAGCAAAGAAATAACGTACCCTTTAACAGGAGATGGCTCACGGCGGACTGAGGGTCGAGCAGCTGAACCACCACGCTGTCTCTGAACCGTGCAGCTGACTCGACCACCACAGCAGACACAACAGCAGCAGGAAGTGCTGATCTGACCTTAGAGGTCAGACTTCGCATCAGGTCTCCCTCCTTCCTTCTCTAAAAACAGAACACATGTTTACTCTCCTACTTCATAATGTATGCTACATACAGTGTAGTAGGGCTGCCACGATTAGTCGACTA